AATTCAAACAATAAATAGCACTTTTTTTTTAACATATCTAGATGTAAATACCTGGAATGAAAAGCTGAAATACTGACCTTTTGTCTCATATTCATTTTTTAATTTCAAACCTAATTATTTTCAGTGTACAGCAAAAATAAAGCAATTGGCCTCACCGTTCCAATAGTTTTGGAGGGGACTGTATGCTAAAGAGGTAATCTGCCACCAATGTCTTTCACACAATATAAACATTGTTCTAAGGTTGGGCATTTTGCATGAATGTGTGCGAAAAGGCGCAGTATAAAACGTGTTTGTGGAACAGGGAGCTGCTATAAATCAAAAGGATGTTGATAATGATGATGAACTAATATATAATATAGTGAAGTATATTCAATATACACTGTATACACTTCTTCATGTGGAGATGATGCCTACAAAGGTTATCATGAACTTTTAAGGCCAGGACACTCAGCTAGACACAGCAGCTGTTGTGAGACCTTTGCCAGAGAGGGTGTAGAGGAAATCCCTTTTTGCTTTGGCAAAATAAAATACCACTTACTTCTTTTTCTGAAGAACTGGTTGTAATGTTAGGTAAAGTGTCACTTACTGTATGCTAGCCTGCAATGAATCACCTCACAACAAGGTGCTGTCATGTTCATTGTGATGGACACTGAGGAAAAGCCAAAAGCATTTGCATCTTGCTTTTTGACAGGCAGAGTGCAAATTGGCAAAAAAGATAAATGCCCCCAGGGCCTTTTTCTGAAACTTAAAACTACGGCATAGAGTATTGCAATCGTCATACCGTGCAAATGCAGATGTACTTACCAGGTAACCTAAACATAAATGGATTGCCAGATCACCTTAATACTGAGACACTGGTTTACCTGTAGAACTGAGCTGTCTGTGGAGCATGGATGCTGGCTTTGGGGAATGAGAGTCACAGCTCCTACAGTTCCCAGGGCACTTGTCCAAGGTGACTCAGTGCATGTGAGAACTTGTAGTGATATAAATGGGAAATAGATAAAGGAAACGATTGAACAGCACTTCCAACCTGTCACTTACCTGATTTATGACAAATGGTCATCAAGTCCATGATGACCATTTGTTATTCTCTTTCAAAGAAGTCTTAGGTTACAATAACTCAAGTTATCATATACTGGCAATAAAATAGGCCTGGAATCATCAGTGCCGGAAAAATGTGCAGGAATCTGAACCCCGGAACGCTGTATTAGGTTCCTTCCAAGGAAAAACAAAAATGTTCCTATGCAGCTTCACATAGAAGCATTAAAATGGCACAACTTTTTAATAAAGTTGTCATTAGAAAATGCAATATGTTAGTGAGTTTGACACGGCTGTTGTTTGTCTGAAATATTGGAGGAAGTAATTAAACAAGGAGCAGCCAAGGCAGGCTGACAGTTCAAAGCTTCAGGCACAGGCTTCAAACCTCAAGCTTGTCAGGATTCAATTGGCTCGTAAAACTATGAAAAAAGGCCAATGCTTAACTGACTTGTTTAACAAAACAACAATAGTTAGTTGTGCTAACCCCAGTATTTATGAACCAAAACTGAAATCTTAAGGAATGCAATTCTCTATGCCCAGTCTGTGAAATTAGCCCAAAATTGAATCAAAGGATATAGTCTGCATGACTAAAGGATTATCTGTACATTTGCCTTTATTTTCCACTCATTTAACATAATAACTGATGCACACTTACCCATTGTCTGTAAGCAGATAATGCAGGATACAATATTAGAGAAAGTACAGAATGTACATCTATTAAAGAATAGAATAGAATGGAATTGGAGGGATGAAACCTTCTTTAATGGTCACACATGCAGAGCACAAAGCACACACAGTGACATTTGGCCTCTGCATTTAACCCATCCTAGTACTAGGAGCAGTGGGCATCTATTGCACATCGGCCGGGGAGCAATGGGGAGTGAGGGGGGAAGGGGGGTGTCCGGTGCCTTGCTCAAGGGCACCACGGCAGGGCAGGAGGTGAACTGGGACCTCTCCAAGTACCAGTCCACACTCCATATTTAGGTCTAGTCGGGGGCTTGACCCTACAGCTCCTAACCCAAGCCCCTGCAAACCAGGAACAGCCTGCAGACATTAACAGGGTTACACACATTCACACATGGAAGCTGCCCAGTACAACCACAGTCTGATCTGATGGCCACTGAGCGGTTCGGGTTAGGGATCTACCTCAATTTCACCTCAGTGGTGGTAATGAGGGAGGGGCAAGTGTCACTTTTCACCACCTTCATTTATCATGCCAGTCTGGGATTGCTTGCTTCACTGTAGGCGACTAATGTTCCTAAATAGGAATGACCAGACCACACCTGTGCAGACCACAGCCAGAGACTAGTGGAAATGGATGCCAACCAGCAGGTAGATGTTGAACTGGTGGCCAAATAATACGCGACCTCTGTTGTATGTCGATACTTTAGCTTTTAGGTTAAGTTACATTGAGTAGCCTACAAAGATGTTTTATGAAAAAAATGCAAAACAAAAGTTGCTTCATCGGAACACGACATGTTTGAACAAGCACCTTAAACAGAAGAATGCAACTCTGCTAGGAAATGGCTGCATCGGGCCTGTGTGAGGAGCCTGTGTGAGGAGCATCTGGCTTTCAGAACAGAAACAGCACCAACTTTGTTAAATTGGTGGAGCCTAACCACTCATACAGGATCCAGTATTTTGTACATGGAGATTTGACTTTTACATTGTTATATTTTATTCCGTGTACACTCAAAAACTATGCGGACAACCTTTTTGTCCATGAATTTAATTTAATTTACCACAATAAGAAAACAGTGGTGATATACTTACTGTATTCTGTACTGTGTTGAGAAACCTACCCAAAATTTAAATTTGTCTAATTTGTTTTAAAGAGTTTTTTTTATGATACTTTAAGTTGGTATGTATGACTTGAGAAATGCACATTTTTAAATGATCAGTAGTCCATCCATTTCCTTTCCATAACTAAGCAAGAATACCAATGATCCAATTTTTCTTATAAGATCGCAATCGCAATATTGTCAAAAATAATCGCAAAATGACTTTTTCACCCAAAAACCTACTTTTGTTTCCATCTGAGCCAGGAGCTTATGATGGCCACACGAGGGCAGTATAACACCATATTTTGTACACAGATGTAAAGCCTGGGGGAGATACGGTACTTAAACATCCTAGGTTTCAAAGCTCCTCATCAAACAACAAAACAGGAGTAACACTGGATGGAATTAGTTCCCTGAATTATAATATGTACAAATGAAACTAAATGTACTTACTAGGAAATTGTTATACAGTAACAAAATCAAATCTGAAAACATTGCATTAAAGTATAGATTATTGGGTGTTTGCATGATGAGTATAGCACCCACGATTCAAGTGCTTCTGAAACATAGTAGTTACAAGTTAATTATTAACTACACTGACCAATCTTTATGTTATACAGTTATAACTCTGAAGAAATGTTTGACAATGCAGGTCAAAGACCATACAAATGATTTATCTAATGGAAAAAGGGATTTAAAACGGTGGCTGTTAAGTCAGTAGAAGAAAAGAGAAAGATAAAAACGTGACAGTAAGTTGACTCTTTCAAAAGGTCTTCAATTATTTATGATGATATTGGTGTGACAAAGTAGTTATCTTCAGTGGTTCAATATGCTACTGCCGTAAAGAGAAACACCATGGCCTCATACTGGCTCTGGCACTGGTGTTTTTTGTCTATTAAAAAAATCAACATACTACTCATTACAGTAAATTAGAAAAAGGCACTGCAAAAGCAAGCCTTAGAATAATTCAAAACTAAAGCAAGCTACATACCATTATGCCTTAGTGATCTAAACTAGACACATAACCAGAGAGTGAAATAACCACCTGTCAAACTACTCACCACTACAGCATCTCTGTTTTATCTTAATAAAGATATGAATAGATTCCATTAAATGACTTCTCTCATATATATGTTAATGTTCTAATATCACGTTTGAGCCCACTTGAGGAACTTAAAGGTCCCATGTCATGCTTTTCCGGTTATTACCCGTCCCCTTGTGTGTTATGAAGGTTTTTATGCATGTAAACGGTCTGCAGAGTCAAAAACCCTCAAAGTACACCCTGTAGGGAGTAAAACTCTAACACAGAAAAGACCTCCCCAAAACGCCTCGTTGGAGATTTCTCATGTTCTTCCTGGGCATCATGACGTCTGGATACCCAGTACCCACGCCCAGAGCTATGACGCGTTACGGTCATGCGGTACCTGGAACCAAATGGACCAATCCGCGGAGCCGTTACGTTAAGCCCCTGCTGATTGGTCCAAATTGACCAATCCACGGACTTCCTCACACACACACACACTCAGTGCAGGCAGCTCTGCTGATTTCTCCTCCCTGGCTGCAGGCTGATAACACAGTTGGGATCGCGGCGACATTCTCTCTGCAGACCCATTCTCACAGCGTTTATCAACCTTTTTCTTACTCAATATCAAGCCACACTTATTGTTTTTAATCCGGCTGTGAGTTTGTGTGTGCTCAGGATGAGTTTGGCTGTGTATCTAAACAAGGAAACAACACCTCCATGGAGTTCAGCGCGATTCACAACGTCCCGACCAATCAGAGCACACTGTGCTCACAGGGAGGGTGGGGGCTGGAGCTATTGGAGCTACAACGAGCCGTTAAAGGCAGAGAGTGAAATTCAGTGAATACACGTAGTTTACAGAGATGCTGTATGAGAACCCAATGTGAGTTTGGAAAATTGCACAATATAAATCTATTCTAGTAGACCTCAACAATGGAATTATGATCAGTGGAAATGGCCATGACATGGGACCTTTAACTCAAAGGAATAAATGCAGTTATAGAAATGTTTCTTATCACCACACTCATACACACTGCTAATCTAAACGTTGAGGTATTTCCCACTGAAACTGATTTGTTTTTGTTTTGGATGACAGTTTTTATTTCTCAAAAATGACCCAAGTTATAAGGCTGCTTTGGTTTAAGCAATGATACAAAGACGATTGAGTTTAAAAAAGGTGTTTTTATTTCAACATGACTTGCCTTTTTAAAGGGTATTTCTGTAAGTGTAATGCATGATTGTAGGGAATTAGGTTGATGTGCTTTTAACAAACCATCTCTGGCATTTTCCAACATGAAATAAAATGAGTCTCAAGATTGTGTTTCTTAAATTATAGTTTACAAAAAAATCTTCCTGAGGAGGAGGTACACAAAGACTTGTTTCCTTAGTTGTTAAGATGGCTATTAGGCTTTTACAGTACATGATTCATTGTCACAACAGAGTATCAATACTTCCACTTGCATAGTTTTTTGCTACATTACCCATCTCTGATTCAGACACTACCACAATATGTCTGAATCTCAATCTCAAGTTAAATGTTTTGTGATTTTACTGTTAAAATACAAGTTATTGTTTTAACTGGTAATCTTAAATGTATACTTGTTTTGTGCAAGGGGCTTTGTCTAATCAGTACTATTGCACTTTGAAATGTGAGAATGGTTTACCCTACTTCTCACTTGTTGTCACTGAATTGAGCAGCGGTCTGAAACCATAACTTCTCCACCTGCTCCTTTCCGAGCTCCCATAGCTGACTGAGAATGTGGACACCCTTCTTGGATGTAATCATCAAATACTCTGCGTTCTCAGGATGCAAGCTCACAGAGTAACGAGCTAAAACTATCGACTGGCAGAAGCGGGACAGCACCAGCACATAGAGACAATCTTTCTCAGCTTCGTTGAGGGGAAGGAAACTTTCCCAGCCCGCAAGGACAGGTCCACCCACCTCTATGGGTTTAGGGTGCTCAGTCATCATGTACATGATAGTGATGGCTAGCTCGTGGATATAGTAGCCGCTGTTCATGTCCCCAAAGTCAAGGATGCCAGAAATCCTAAGGCGGCCATCTCTCTCGTCAGGTTGTACGAGCACATTGAGGTCATTGAAGTCACCGTGGTTTATGCCTTAGAACAATAAAAAAACAATAAAACGTTAATATGAATCAAAACGACTTATCACTCATGTATACGGTGACATTCTATACTGACAGTATTCAAGGTGCATATAAGCTGTGTCAAGGGAAGTGAGTAGAAAAGTATTTGTAAAGTTAAAATTATACTCACACTTTCGGAAATTGCAGCGTTTCGGGATCACAGAGGTCTTGTACTGATAAAGGACAGATTTCACAACCTTCTCCAGAGGATCTCCATCAAATAAATGAATGTATGGTTCCAGCAGGGGAATATTTGACAGACTCCATATGAAATTATCTCTCTCCAGAACAGCGAGATCAGGGTGGACCATCTAGAAAAGAACATAACATAATAATATCAGAAAGCAGGAAGAAGAAGTTAAAGTCAGAAGTAAAAGGAGGATAAGTGAACATTTTCTCAGCAAAACTTGCAGTACAGCTTTAAGCTAAGCAGTGAAGGGCTAGTGCTTTATTATATGGGTTCGTCCAAGTTAGATTAGAGACTTTTAATGCCACTTGTAAAGAGATTTAAACTAACTTCACAATATCCAAAACACTTCCATATACTTTGCCTGGTGCCTTTGTCATGCCAGAACATCTTGGTTGAGTAGCCAATTTTCATTGAATTCCTTTTCAAAAACTTCCCCATGTTGTCGCTAGTTATCATAAGCATCCGGGCCCCACACAAACAATTAGTGATGTTTGTTTAACTTTCCTGATCTGCCTAACATCAGCCTAGAAGAGTCATTCCAAAAATAGATGAAACCAATTATATTGAGGTTTAATAGTGCAGTTAAAGGTGGGGTAGGTAATTTCGGAGAAACCAGCTCGAGTGCGCTAGAATTTGAAAATACACAACCGGAGAAAATCTGCCACTTCCTTACAGAGCCCCTCCTCCAACACACACGAACGCGCACAAGACCAATGAGGGCACGAGATAAGTTTGTGCACAGATGGAAGGCTGACAGGCAGGTAGGCCATCCAGTTATTTGAGCCGGGCCGGCTAAAATAATTGGTTGTGCTTTTTACAGTACTACGGCTTCCACAGACGACAATTTTTTATGGAATTTTTGTCAAAGCACTTAAGATATTCATTGCTATCGGGATGTTAAGAGCATTCCATGGGATATAACAAAAAGTGTATCTCGAGCCGGTTTCTCAAACTTACCTACCCCACCTTTAAAATGACAATGTAAAAAAAAAAATCTCAATACCATAAAATAAATTATTAACCAGGTTAATGTATAACTTAAGAAGTGTAATTCAAAACAACAGCAGTATTGGTAGATATTGTCATTGAAGACAATTTCATAAGGTACTCTTCTACATCGCTTTGATGTCACAATACATGGAAATTCGATTTAACGGTATGAGGAAAAAGAATGCCAATGATCAAAAAGTGTTATCATTATACCTCTTGTAGGATTGTGTCCATTGTGGCTGCCATCTTGCCAGTTTCATACAGTAACTGCGGTGTTAGAGGAACCTTGGATATCGTGGTTCCAGGCAAATAAGTAAGCAGCCGCACCAGGTACTTCTGACTGCCATAGCCGCAATCTGTCAAAGGTAAAGACAGGATAAGTGTTACAGCTATTCCTCTCACTCACTTAGCCATCATAAAGCATGAACTGTATAGTGTGGCCTTGCTCAGGGTCACACTTATCACTTTAGAGCGGGAGTATTAGAGCTTAGGCATTATGTTTAAAACTGTGGGATTGTTTTCAAACTCAACACATTCACCACAAAACCTTACAATCAACCAGGAAAACATTATGCATCTTTTGCCTGGGGACATGTAGGGAGACAACACTTAACACTGACTTTTGTGTCAATACATTACACATAAACTATCATCTGAATAAGCAAATGTAGGAAATGTCTTTTTTTAGAGTGCTGAATCACTAATTCCTAATGTTTTGCCGGTGTGACTGATCACATACCTATTTCTTCCAGGCTCATCAGCTGTCCTGAAATGTTGGGAAGGGCTGTTTGGGCAGGAAGTCCATTCTGGTGCAGGACGGACATGGCATGCATCTGCACCTCAATCAGGGCGGGGTTCTTACTGTCTTCCGAGTTCATTATCTTCAGGACATACTTGCCACCCTCGATGGGGTCTATGAAGAAGTTTTGGTCATCGTAGCTTGGAAGAGAGCTGATTTCTGATGCCGTCAGCCCAAAGAGCCTCTTCACCGTCTCAGCCACCTGAGACTGGCTGAAGTTGGGCTTGGCATGTTTCACTGACATTATTGCTGAATGAAAACAACATGGTATCACAAAAATGACGCAGATATTTGAGAAATAAAAGCATTACAGAACTTGTACAGAATAGTAAATGTATAACAATTTAAATTCCAACCTCAGTCAAGAGAGGTGTATTACAGCCAGCTTCTTAAAGAAATAAACAGTAAATGTGTTTTATCATTATTTCACATCCTTTTTTATGAAATAATGATAACAAATCTGATCTCGAAATCTAATGCTGAAATGTTAATGAAGTTCCATGCCTTTTTACTTATATTTTTTATTTATAATTAATTAAATAATTTACCCAACTCAAAGGACACACATTGTGAAGTCTAGCTTTTCCAATGTGATGATTTCTAGTTTTCCTTTGTCTATCTATTCTATGATGATGTTCTCTGCAAAAAGAAGCTAAAGAAACAAAATACATATGGTCTTTTGGAACCTTTGAAAGTCTTATGCACACTTAAATGACTGTTTACTGATTTAAAAAATAAACGTGGTCGCAGTAGTTGAAAATCTACCGCTGCACACTGGATGTTTTTTCCATACGTAGCCAACTAGCTCTATGGCAATTACTAGCCCACATGCTATTATTTATTGAATTTTCTTCTGGTGGTATTAATGGCATCAACGCAGATTAAACAAGAAAATAGATCGACATATACTTCACAATGTACACGTACAGCGTAGTTTCTAATATATCAAGTCACAGTTTGAGCAAGGACTTGATCTACGTAAAATATATGTTGCATTCAACACGCTGCATGAGATAACAGTATGCAAGCTACATGAAATAGCAGCAATAACGGGTTTCAATAACATACTTTAATCAAGTTTCTGTAAACCTACCTTACGATATGTAAAAAATACGGTTTCACGTCACATAAAAGCTGTACATTCCTGGACTCTTGGAACACAGAGTTGTAAAAATATATATACAACCGGTGCATTTTTTCAAAATACAAATGACGCCGGAAATGTATCAAAGTGAAGACTATTGGCTTCAAAATAAAAGGCTTAGTGGGTTATATCAATTTTAAATCAACATATTTATGATAGCAGCGAGGATTTTTGTCTGAACTATTGTGACATTAAGTTTATCCAACTTAATTTAAAAACATTTCCAATGGCAAACGGAATCTGAAGTAATTTAATATTCTAATTTCTAATCCAAATGTTGCTCTTACATTGAGCCCATAAATCCATATCATAGGCTACTTCACACAGTCCAAATGTTAATTTAAAATGGTTCAGGGGCGGTTCTAGGGGGGGGGGCACAATTAAATATCGTCCATGGATCTCATAAAAAAATAAATAATAATGATTTTTCTTTTTTTTTTTTTCTTTTTTTTTTTTTTTTTCTTTCTATTTTGGTGGTCCAATGGATAGTGAGGTGGGCTGATTTTCGGAAGGTTGCGAGTTCAAATCCCGCCTGGAACACCACTACTTGTGTGGCCTTGAGTAAGGCACTTACCCCTAGATTCCACCGGGTCCGTCTGCGGCGCGTTACGGGCGCGTTACGGGCGCGTTACGGGCGCGTTACGGCTGCGCCGCGGTGCTCACGGCGATCGCGGCCACTCTAGTCAATGGGTGCTATTCCACCACACGCGGCGCGTTACGGCTCAGAAGCGTCCCAGAAGCGTCTCGGCGCAGGGCTCCTCTAAAATTAGGATCGAATCCTATTTTTGTCGCGGCGCAGCCGTAACGTAAGGTCGGGCAGGCAGGAAGTGGAACGTTCAGAGCTATATATACACACACACAAACTAATTTTGCAGACCCTATCCCTCCGTAGTCTTTCAAGTAGGAGGAGAAATGCCAGCGTTCTCCTCCGGTTTACAGGCACTGTGTAAATTATATATATAGAATAATTATGATGATGAATGCATTTTTTTACCACTAAAATACAGCAACACATCTTTGATTCATGTCGTTTATAACTGGAATATTACAGTTATTATTAACTTTGTCTGTACAAAGTAGCCTGTCCAGGAAATATGCCCAAATCAACAAAAACTGCGAGCCGGCAGGCAAGACGCTCCGCTTCTGAAATGCTTCTGAAACGCGCCTGGTAGGGTATGACGCCGGAGGAGGCCGGACCAAAACCGCAACGTGGCGCAGACGGACCCGGTGGAATCTAGGGGCTAGCCCTCAGTTACTCCAGGGAGAATGTCCCTGTAATTGGTCATTGTAAGTCGCTTTGGAATAAGGCGTCTGCTAAATGCCTAAATTGTAAATTATATTTTTGGGAGAATAAACCCCACAGATCCTCAACTCCGGTGTGTCTCACTCATTAACAACGCAACACAGAGCAACAAGAACGTTGTCTACAGTAGCCATGAACTCACATGTATTTTCTTATTTGAGGGGGGAGTGGATGCGTGGGCCACCCGAATGGGTTAAGGGGCCTTTGGCTTTTCTTGCCGGGGGGGAGGGGGAATATTGATTCAAATAGAATCAAATTCTGTGGGAAACACTGTACTTACTACAACTCTATATCTATCTAACACCCCTCCTCCCCCCACCCCCCACAATGAATATCGACCAATCACGTTCTTGCTTGATTTGCGGGACCAGCGTTGCAGTCGGGAAGAAAAGCAATGTGGAGCGGCACCTCACCACTTCATAAGGAGTTTGACCGGGATTTTCCTTCTGGCAGAATCTACACAACACATCAGCCCCATTGAGCACAACCTAGTCATGCCAGCCTATACAACACATGAGGGGCAGAGTTTTACTCTGTGTGTTGCAACTTGCATATATATATTTATTGCACTTGACGCACACATACGCATGGCGTAATTTCCACTGGGGACAGGGGGGACATGTCCCCGCACCTTTCGAAATCCTGTTTCCCCCACTTTACAAATATGTTAATTTATTTATTTTAACGCAAGCCGTCATCGCCACGGAGGAGCACACAGCCTCTGTGAGCGAGCGAGAGAGAGAGAGAGAGAGAGAGAGAGAGAGAGAGAGAGAGAGAGAGAGAGAGAGAGAGAGAGAGAGAGAGAGAGAGAGAGCTATAGAGCACACCTTTATCTATTTAATATAGTAGTAAAAAATAAAGTAAGAAATCATTCCAATGTGTACTATAGGACAGTAAAAAATACTTGCATATATTTTCACTACAAACACTGAAAACGGGTCCCACAGACCCAAACAGCACACAAAGGTTAAAGGTAAGCATATAATGATGTGTAATGAAACAAATACCGATAACTGTATTGTAAAGTCTTGCAACTTTAGCATGTAAGGTACTTGATGATAATGGTTAGAAATCAAGGGTATGCCAAACCCATGTTATCACAGCACATCTTTTAAAATCGAAAGGTTGTAAGGATGGAGTGCTCAATTATCTTTTGAGAAGAACTCCAACATAATTTATGAGGTTCATGAATAATTTGTCCTGCTGTACTTATAACCCTAAAAATGTAATTCCTCAGCTAAAGTGTGGTATCGTATTTCAAGACATCAAACTGAGAAGACCATTTCAGTTTAAAGGCTACACATCTTTGCAAAGGTATCAATACACTGTCACCATCAGTATTAAGAGTGTTTATGATTTGTACCTGGGTCAAGGCTTAATTGTCTCAGTGCATTAAAAAATCACAACTTTAGGTGCTTCTCAAATCTTATAGATGAACATAAACTAATCGTTGTGATTCTTCCATTTCAACCATCAAATCCTGAGTGTAGGTCTTGGATTACAAAACAATAGCTACCTGTAAATGTGAATTTTAAGGATTACTTATGATTTAAGAAAAAGTCAAGGTGAAGTTTGTAAGAAAAAATTAATTAGTGCTCCCTTTATTTTATGGGAAAAATTCAATTCAGTTACTGTGTCTACCTTCATGTAAACAAATAAAAAAGACCCATTAAACATTTGCCAACTTCAATATCTTTGATTAAATCGTTCATCAACATCCATCCCTGACTTTTTAGGCCACTGTACATTTCAAATCTTAATTTGTTCTATTCCTGCAATAGAGAACATGTACATTGAATCGACACAATGTTATTGTTTTTTTCTATTGCAGAATGTTTTAATCAAACAATAAAAACTATTTAAAGCGAAATTTTAAATACAATTTCAAAGTGTGGTACATAGTTGAAACAGGAGCACGGACATTTAAAGGTGGGGTAGGTAAGTTTGAGAAACCGGCTCGAGATCGCTAGAATTTGAAAATACACAACCGGAGAAAATCTGCCACTTCCTTATAGAGCCCCTCCTCCAACACACACAAACACGCACATGACCAATGAGGGCACGAGATAAGTTTGTGCACAGATGGAAGGCTGACAGGCAGGTAGGCCATCCAGTTATTTTAGCCAGGCCGGCTAAAATGATTGGTCGTACTTTTTACAGTACTACGGCTTCCACAGATGACATTTTTTTATGGATTTTTTGTCAAAGCACTTAAGATATTCATTGCTATCGGGATGTTAAGAGCATTCCATGGAATATAACAAAAAGTGTATCTCGAGCCGGTTTCTCAAACTTACCTACCCCACCTTTAAGGACAGCAATAGAAACAGACAACTATAACATTACAAATACAAATTATATAAATAAAAAAATGTTTAAGAAATAAAGTAAATAAAATGAAAAGATCCAATCTTACAAAAGAAAGCTGCTTGTGATCTGTTCCTGTAATGTCACCCACCCCGACAACCATCCTGCAAATGCATGAGCTTTGATTAGTGGGCTTTATCCGCCTTTAAGCAATAGAGACCTAACAGACTTTCAGTTAAAGTGGACCTATCATGCTATATTTTAATAATATAGTGTAGGACCATACCTATATAAGGCATATTTATACTTTTTTTTGTTCAAAATACCAAACAGATCATGCATTTTAGTCATGCCTCATTTCGCTCAATTTGCACTTTTGTAGCACTGGGCTGATTCTGTGAGAACAGCACCACCTACAGGCCTGGCATATGTACTACAGCGTCTCCAGCGCTTTCGAACGGTAATGGCCGTGGCTGTCTCCAGAGTTGGGTGTAACGCGTTACAAAGTAACCTGTAATAATATTACTTTTGTCTGTAACGGAGTAGTGTAACGCATTACTTTTATAATTCAGTAATCACACTACAGTTACTAACATTGCCCCGACACGCGTTACTTCGTTACTTTTATAAAATCAGTCATAATCACACTGACAGACAAGAGGGGTTTCCGCCGCAGGTTTATATGTACGTAATCTGCGCGACTTGCGCGTCCACATCTCCACGTGCAGTGCTGCATAAACATGGCAGAGTCAGCGATAACTTTCGAGGGGTGGAGGTATGCCCATTATTTTGAGTTCGTCCGAAGAATAGACAGGAATGTGACGGTGAGGTGCAAACTGTGTCCAGGCCAGAAGCTGTTATACACTGCTGCAAACACCACGTCAAACCTCAACAAACACCTGCAAAGAACACATGCTAAGGTGAAGCTAATAGCTAAGGACCCCCGAACCCAGAGTGAGGATGTTGTGAGTGCGCCGCCGCCGACTCCGAAGCGGCACAAATTAGAATTTGGAGGACCGGTAACCAAAGCAGAGAGGGACAGGCTTGTAGCATCCTTCATAGTAGAGGTAATGTTGCCCATTTGCACAGTGGAATCACCATCGCATCGTTCAGAGATATACTGCGCAAAATACAGATAGCAGGAGACAGAGGACAGCCATAGTCAGAGCTATCTGGATCAGTCTTATGCGACAATGGAAACTGAACTAAAGAGAACATTTGAAACTTTAGCAGTCTGCGTGATCTGCCTGTAGGGAGGGGCGGGCCGGCCCTGCGAGTAAAGTAACGAGTAAAGTAACGAGTAAAGTAACGAGTTACTTTATGTAGAGAGTAACGAAGTAGTGTAATATATTACTTTTTTTTAAAGTAATATGTAATATGTAATATATTACTTTTTTTTAGTAACGACCCCATCTCTGGCTGTCTCCTCCTGATTGGTGGAGTTGGCCCAA